TCATAGCCAAAATTTTCTTCCCAGTCTGTAGGTTGTCTTTTTACTCTTTTGGTAAAGTCTTTTGATGAGCATAAGTGTTTGATTTTTAGGAGCTCCCAGTTATCTAGTTTCTCTTTGTGCATTGTCAGTTATGGTTTGCATTCTGTTTATGCCATGTATTAGGGCTCCTAGCATTGTCCCTATTTTTTCTTTAATGATCTTTATCATTTTAGATTTTATATTTAGGTCTTTGATCCATTTTGAGTTAGTTTTTGTGCATAGTGTGAGATATGGGTCTTGTTTCAGTTTTTTGCAGATGGATATCCAGTTATGCCAGTACCATTTGTTAAAGAGACTGTCTTTTCCCCAGTTAATGGACTTTAAAATATCAGCTGCTCATAGGTGCATAAATTTATGTCTGGATTCTCAATTCTGTTCCATTGGTCTTTGTATCAGTTGTTGTACCAGTACTAGGCTGTTTTGATCACTGTGGTGGTCTAATAGGTTCTAAAATCAGGCAGTGTGAGGCCTCCAAGTTTTTTCTTCTTCTTCAGTAATGCTTTACTTATCCAGACCTCTTCCCTTTCCATATGAAGTTGGTGACTTGTTTCTCCATCTCATTAAAAAATGTCATTGGAATTTGGATCGGGATTGTATTGTATCTGTAGATCGCTTTGGGTAGAATTGACATTTTCACAATGTTGAGTCTTCCTATTCATGAGCAATGTATGTTTTTCCACTTATGCAGGTCTCTTTTGGTTTCTTGCAGTTGTGTCTTGTAGTTTTCTTTGTATAGGTCTTTTATGTCTCTGGTTAGATTTATTCCTAAGTATTTTATCTTCTTGGGTCCTATTGTAAATTGGAGATTTCCTCTTTGAAGTTCTCTTTGTTAGTGTAGAGGAATCCAACTGATTTTTGTTGTATCCTGATACTTTGCTGAAATCTTCTATTAGTTCCAGTAGTTTTCTTGTGGATTGTTTGGGGTTTTCTGAGTATAAGATCATTTCATCTGCAAATACAGACAAATACAGAAACTTTTACTTCTTCCTTACTAATTTGGATGCCCTTTATTTCTTTTTCTAGCCTAATTGCTCTGGCTAGGACCTCCAGCACAATGTTGAATAAGAGTAGTGATAAAGGGTGTCCTTGTCTGGTTCCCATTCTCAAGGGGAATGCTTTCAGACTCTCTCCATTTAGGTTGATGTTGGCTGTTGGCTTTGTATAAATTAGGCCTTTATTTCTTGATAAATAACTAAAGCATTATTTATTGACACTCTGCTATAAAGAAAGAGAATTTAGCATATTTACAGTACTCCCATATTCCCTCTGCATTCCAAATTTTTTATATTACCTTCTTTCATCAATTTAAGCAATGTTTAGAGGTCCCTACTGTGTTAAATGATAACATATTTCTCTCCACACTTCATTCAGCCTCTCCTTTTCCATTTTCTGCACCTATCTTTTGTTACCTAATCATTTACTTTTGTGTCATAAGAGTTGTTAACATTTAGATTCTGATCTGTAACCATAATTGTCTCTTTTGTCTATAACCTGAATCTAAATATTTAAAACCAATAAATAGCATTTATTTTTTATGACTATAAGTAACATTATCTGCAGAGCCACCTAGTGTACTAGAATTTATTTCCCTCTCTACTAGTCAAATGTGAAAGCCTCTATTCTCTGAAGAAAAATGATCTTAGTATCTAGATAAAGTGATGTGAACATGTAAACCTGTTTTTGTTAATTAATAAAAGGGCATAGTGCTGAGAAAGCTTACTCTCTAAAATCATAGACTTTCAGAAACTTTGGTGTGTGAAATCCTATTAGTGAGAATGGAACATCCCACTCTTGCCTGGAAGATGTGAGCCATAAGTTCACTTTGATACAGAAAAGCAACTTCAATTTTTAACCAAGGCTCATAGCTTCATAAGGTTTTCAGACACAAAATTCCACCTTTATATTAATTTTTTAATTTCTAAGGAAACAGAACCTTGAGTCAGTATCTCAGTTCAGGTATTAACCCTTTACACCTAATACTGCTTTGCTTTGAGCCTGTCAAAACACTACTTCACTTAATTACTGCCTACCCTTCATCTTTTAAACTAGAAAAAAACCCTGGCTTCATTGAGGTGATTCCAACTCATGGTAACCTCATGCATATCAGAGTATAACTATGCTGCATAGGATTTTCAATGATTGTGTTTTTGGAAGTAGGTTGCCAGGTCTTATTTTCGAGTCACTTCTGGATGAACTCAACCTGCCATCTTTTGGTTAGCAGCCAAGTACATTAACCATTTGTTCACCTAGGAACTCACACTTTACCCTTTGCCTAATCCTATAATAAGCCTATCTTTTCCTTTGTTTAGTGAGATGCCCCCTGGTTCCTCTGGTATGTGGTCTCCCTTGCTGCAGCCAGTTATTAAGCCTAACTTTATTGGATTACAGGTGTGTCCCAAACAGGCTTTATCAGGATTATCTTTTCTTACAATTCATAAATTATTCAGAATCCTGCCACACTTTAGTTCTATTTTGGACCGTAACTTATATAAATATGTGTTTCTCCTGGAGTTTCTAATTGTCTTTCTTTTTTCTTACAAGATGAAACTTATTTTGTCATTATTATCATCTAACAGGACACATAACTTGTTTGAAATGATAAAATGAACAACTATGACCAATTTTGTGCAATGAGTGATATCTATGTAACCCCTGATGCCTGGCCAACAGCAACTGTAAGACATCACTGATTGTGAGACACATCCTGATTTTAGAGCTGTTAAAACATGGAAAAATGAGTTACTGCAGATCCTTGAAATACTTTGTATGCTTTGTATCCATGAAATGCTTTGTAGCCTTGCTGTGGAACTGTTACCTTGGGATTTCTTTTCATTTTACCTCTGGTATGGTTTCATTATTTCTTGCATTACATATCTTCTTCTTTCTTGGTTTTCACCCTCACTTTGCTGGGGTTTATTCTTAAGTAACTTCCTCAGAATGGGTATATGAGAAGAAAATTTTCTGAAGTCTTGATTAATATTTTGGCCCTGTATGGAACTTAAGCTTCAAAATAATTTTCCTTCAGACTTTGAATTCATTGGTCTAATGTCTTATAATATCCAGTATTGTTGATGATATATCTAATACGGTCTAATGCCATTCCTTTGACCTATTTTCTCTATCTGATGTTCTGAAATTTTATGATAATGGGTTTGGGTGTCAGTCTTTTGTCATTTATTCTGCCTAGCCCTCAGTGGAACTATTCCATCTCAATACTTGTGTCTCTTTTCAGCTCCAGGAAAGAGAAGTATAGAGAGGCTACCATCTTAGTCATTCATATACAGACTTGGAAGTATTCCTTTTGCTCTCCTGCTGGCTCAGAGCCTCCAGTCTCTCTGTGATTCCGCCAGATGGTTTGTTCCTCTCCTTTGCTGCAGTCCCTTCCTGTGTGTTCTCAGCTGTAGAGTTCTTGCTCTACTGAATCCTCCCAGTCTTCCAGAAACTTTTTGAAATGTTTTATCCACTGATAGTTGCTCCTCCCTCTCTTATCCCTTTTGTTTAATCCTTTACTATCCCTTTGAAGATGCAGTGGTGAAGAGCTCAGCTCTAACCAAAAGGTTGGCAGTTTGAATCCACCAGCTGTGCCTTGGAAACCCTGTGGGGCAGTTCTACTCTGTCCTATAGGGTTGCTGTGAGTCAAAATCAACTCAATGGCAACAAGTTTGGTTTTGGTTTGGTTATCCCTTTGATGATCGGTCTGTATCTTGAATCAGAGAACCCTCACTCCCAGTACTGAAAGTATTTGGAATGGTTGTATTTTTATAAGCTTTGTAATCCTTTGTTCCTTACCTTTCTCCTTAAACGCATCCACTAATAAAACCTAATATATTAGCTATTTAAAGATATATAAAATGTCAGAATTCATGTGGCCATTTCTGTAAAGAGGAGAATGTAATTCACATCGTGACTTCAAAGCCTTCTGACCTAGCAGTTCGTTTATGTAAATATCCCTTTCCCCCATTACCCTCTAGGGTCTGTCTCAGGGAGAAGTAGGAAATTGCAATAATCTTTGATTCCCTGCTATTTAGTATTCTTTGAACCTTTGTAACCTCCCTCTGGAGTCCCTGGGTGGTGCATATATGTTAACGCACCTGACTGACTGCTAATGGAAAGGTTAGTGGTTTGAGTCCATCCAGAGACACCTCGGAAGAAAGGCCTGGCAGTTTATTTCCAAAAAATCAGCCATGGAAAACCTTATGGAGGACAGTTCTACTCTAACAGAATGGATTCCGATGAGTTGGAATCAACTTGACCGTGATGAGTTTAACTTTCCTCTAGTGTAGTCCTTCCCCTCTCTTCCTGTTATGGATTGAATTGTGTCCCCCAAAAATGTGTGTCAACTTGGCTAGGCTGCGATTCCCAGTATTTTGTGATTGTCCACCATTTTGTCATCTGATGTGATTTTGCTATGTGTTATAAATCCTACCTCTATGATATTAATGAGGCAGGATTAGAGGCAGTTATGTTAATGAGGCAGGACTCAATCAACATGATTAGGTTGTATCTTGAGTCAGTCTCTTTTGAGATATAAAAGATAGAAGCAAGCAGAGAGACAGAGGGACCTCCTGCCACCAACAATGAAGAACTAGGAGGGGAGTGCATCCTTTGGGCCCAGGGTCCTACGCTGAGAATCTCCTAGACCAGGGGAAGATTGATGACAAGGACTTCCCCCAGGGCTGACAGAGAGAGAAAGCCTACCCCTGAAGCTGGCAACCTGAATTTGGACTTCTAGCCTCCTAGACTGTAAGAGAATAAATTTCTCTTTGTTAAACCATCCACTTGTGATATTTGTGTTACAGCAGCACTAGATAACTAAGACACTTCCCAATACTAACTTTTATTGTTTTCTTTCTGAGGACTCACTCTGCCATGCCTACTGTTCTCACTGGTAGGCTGGCTTAGATAGTGTGGCTGGTGTGACAATGAACAATACTCAGTGGTCCCTTTTTTCTTTCTTACAGGGAGAAAGGAACTGAAACATTCAGAGCTTCTTTAGTGATTCCTAGCAAGGACAAAGCTGTCTTCCTCTTAAGTTATGAAGAGCTCTTGCAGAGACGTCTTGGGAAATATGAGCACATTATCAGTGTGCGACCCCAGCAGCTGGTGGGGAGGCTCACTGTGGAAGTGAATATTCTGGAGAAGTCGGGCATCGCATCACTGGAAGTGCTTCCGCTACGCAACAGCAGGCAGAAGGGCACTGGGAGGGGGGAAGGTAAGTAGTCCTTGGTGAATATGCTCAGCTCTTCTGTGATAACTCAGAGCTGCTTATTGGATTTAGAGAAATCTGTAAAAGAGATGTCACCTCTCAACAAAAGGTTTGAATTTTGTAGGGGTTTGAAAGATAGCAACAAAACAGACTCTGCCCCCCCTTTTTCTTCCTAAAGAGCCAAGTTCTATCAGAAGATTTTAAAATGTTAAAATCATTTGACTCAGTAGTCCCACTTCTGGAAATCTGTCCTAGATAAAACATCTAAAATATTGGGAATATTACATGGTTGAACCTATTTGACAATATTTGTAGTAGCAAAAATACTTCATCAACCTAAATATTCAATATAAGGAAGTAATTAGTAAAATATGATTATAATAACAACTCAGTATGTGATAGAAAAAAGACATAGAAAAATTAGTTATACATATACAATAATGTTAATATGTTAATTATTTTAAATATGAAGTTGACAAGAGACTAGAAAATTATATAATACTTTTATACTAGGGCTATGGAATTATGAGATCATTTTTTGAAAATCTTTCTTAAACATTCAGCAATATATTATCAAACCAAAAAAAAAAAAAAAACCACAAAGCTGTTGCCATTGAGTTGATTCTGACTTACAGCGACCCTATAGGACAGAGAATTGCCCCATAGGGTTTCCAGGGAGTGGCTGGTAGATTCAGACTACCAACCTTCTGGTTAGCAGCCAAGCTCTTAACCACTGTGCCACCAGGGCTCCAGCAATGTATTTTAGTCTTTCTAAAATTAAATAATGAAAAACGTATACTATAAATTTGACTTGAGATGTAGCCATTTTGGTTTGTTAGCAAGGCCAATGAGTTTAGGTTTCTCTCTAATTTTAAAAGTCACATTCCATCGGCATAACAGTTTATAAAGAAAATGTTCTACATCCTACTTTGGTGAGTAGTGTCTGGGGCCTTAAAAGCTTATGAGTGACCATCTAAGAAACTGCACTGATCTCACCCCTTCGCAAGCAAGGGAAAATGAAGAAAACTGAAGAGACAAGGGAAAGATTAGTCCAAAGGACTAATGGACCACAAGTACCACAGCCTCTACCAGACTGAGTGCAGCATAACTAGATGGTACCCGGCTACCAACACTGACGGCTCTGATAGGAATCACAATACAGGGTCCTGGATAGAGCTGGAAAAAAACATAGAACAAAATTCTAACTCACAAAAAAAAAAAAAAAAAA